TGAATGCTGGGATTAAAGGCGTGCACCACCGCCAGCCGACTAAGAGGAAACTTTGTTTTGAAAGAGCGTACATGAAACCAAGACCCAGACCAGCAATCCCAGAGCGTGCTCTAGTAACATGAAAGAAAGCACAGGTGCCAGTGTACACTGTACACAAAGCAGAGGAGACTCCAGGGTGACTGGGGACAGCAGAGAGCAGCTACGGATGGAGAGAAGAGTGAGCAGCAAGCAGACGCTGAGGGGGTTGTGTCTGGTAAAGCCTGCATCCAGTCGCATTCACACAAGATCCAGGTGAAATCGTTCCTATGGCTGCTCCTAAGGACTCTTCAGACACTGAAGTGGACAGGGACACCAACTGAGCTATGAACATGGAACCCAGAGCCCCTCTGTGAGTTGGACCCCAGTGAAGGCATAGATGCCACCTGTGACTTATGCTTAGGGCAGCCTGCCAGGTTTGACATGTCTAAATCCATTGGGAATTATGAAGTATTTTGAGATTTATAAAGTACTTTGAGATTCCTCAGGGAGAATGTAAGTATGAAGAGAGAGTGTAGAATGACTGTGGAGCCGGCCATGCAGTGAGGGGGGGCTATAGAAAGGGCAAGAACACCAGCCATTCATGGTTATCACGCCCAGGGGTGTCAGTATCAAAACTACCGAGTCCTGAAACAATTGTCTGTATAACGTGGGTATGGGGAACGAGTGATTGCATCCCCTCCTGATTCCTTGAGAACAAAAGTGCTCAGTGTGAAAGAACAGAGATTCAGCTGTGGGCAGGGGGCTAGGCAGAATCTCTGTGGTCCTGACTTTGAACTTAATGTTAATGTGAACTCGAAAGATGTGCATGTGATATTAATACATACATACATACATACATCAGTAACCTATCCAGGAGGAATGAGCAGTCCTAGGGCCATGGCTGAGACCTTGAAATATCATTTTCTATGAAAATGAAAAGCAGTCAGAGCAATAGAGATAAGCAAAGCAAACCTGGACTGTGCCACATCCCACAGTTTGGGAAATGACTTGGGTCTCAACAAGAGGATTCAAGAGCCTCCTGAAGAGGCATTCACTGGCCCCAAATGGGACCAACACTCCAAGCCTCGCTGAAGATGAGATTTGCAAAGAACTGAGGCCCATCAAGTATGCTTGAATCCATACGCTCCTCGGGCAACAGTTAGTTAGTACTCCGTGGTTGGCAGGGAGCCAGTTTATTATCTCACAACTGAGTAATTAGAGGGAAGAATCAATTATTTATCTTGCTTTCCCACCACAACCAAACAGCAGCTGAAGGAAGCCCCCCGCCCCTCAAACCCCGAGTAAAGCAGCCTCCCTCCCTCCCATTGCATGGTTTAGAAATGCTGACAGGCCAGAAGCAGCAAGAGGAAATGAAAAGGCATGCATGAGAATCCAGGGCCAGGCCCTGCCCCTCTGGCCCTGACAGGCATTGGTGGCTGCCCTGTGTCGGAGAAGGCTGCAGCGTTTCTCACAGCAGCCAACACCCCAGTGCCAGTCTCTGCCAGCTGCCGGCTTTTGTGAGTGTCAAGTGGCTGTGATGATAAATCTTGATTATGGACCTGGCCAGATGGAGAGACACGCGCATCGGTAAAGCGCACCTCTGGGCATGTCTGTGAGGGTGTCCAGAGCCAGGTGGCATGAGAGACAGCAGATAAGAAGACAAGAGCCACTCTAAATGTGGATGGCATTTCCCAGTAGTCTTCGGGGCGGGGAGCAGAGAAACGAACGTGGAAGGCAGAAGTTGGCCAGCATTGGCTTCTGTCCACCATGAGGCCGTTGACTTTGCTTCCCCACCTGTCTCTTCCCAGCTATGATGCTCTTCCTTCACACACACAGGCCTAGAAGCAGGGGAGCCAAGTGACCATGGACTGAAACCCCCTGACACTGTGAGCCGAGGTCATCTGTCCTCCCCCAGCATGTCTGTCTTTACCCAGCTTCCCAGAATTCCAGGAGAGCTAGTTAGCTTTTGTGTTGAGCCTTGAAGTTGACTAGTGGCATTTCTCTACGTGACTCCCAAGATTCTCCAGGGCCTAACTTCTGCCCAGCTTTCATGGCTGTCCTGGGATGGGGATCTCACTCTGTCACATGCTTTGTTGGAAGCTAGTGGCCCAGCCTGGGCACTGTGGGTGCTTTGGGAGGGGCAGGAGAGGAGAGGGCTTCTGGTGGGTGGCTGGATGTTAGCCAAGCCTTCCACACATGGGGCAAAGTCTCAGGCCCTGGACAGAAGTAACCTCCTTATCTCCAACAGCTTCAAGGTGGGGTAGAGCTTCACCCCACTTTGGGCTGTTCGGCTCACACTGTTCTCCACTCTCCGTGATCTACTCTGTGACACAGGATGCACTCACTCATCTTCTCTTTGCTCATTCCCACTGGGACGTTTTCACAAGGTCTGAATATGTGTCTGCTGAGAGAACAGAGCCAGGCTCTGGGCCATAGATACTGGTGTTGGTTCTGGCCTACCAAGTCCCACTCAGGACTCAGGACCTAGCCCTCAGGAGAAACTAGCTATCCCTGCCCCACTTGGCCATTGATTCTTCCTTCCTTAGAACATTATGGAACACATAGAACATTATGGAACCATTCAAAGGATTCATGGAAGAAGAGAAGGACTTTCTTCAAATAATTCAGAAACACTATGTGGTAGCTCATGCCTGTAATCTGTAGGCTGAAGCAGGAAGATTTCTGTGAGTTCAAGGCTAGCTTGGACTGCATAGTGTTAGCTTGGGGCCAACCTCAGCTACAATGTGAGACCCTGTCTCAAAAAACTGAAAGCAAACAAACCCCGGCTTTTTCTTTTCTCATCTCTGGGGTTCAGTTGAAACTGGAAAAGGAGGAGATGCACATTAAATGGGGGTACAGGTACCTGCTTGCTCTAGCTTCCATTAATGGTCTGTTCGACAAAGCAGACATCCACACTGCTGGATGGCTGCCTATGGTCCAGTGTGCAGGAGGGACAGGCAGGGGCATGCTGGGCCATAAGAGGACAATAGGGCTGCCAGCCCTGGTGCCAGCTGTGTGAGTCAGTGTCACACGCCTGTCCTCCGGGGAAGCAGCAGCCAACAGGCCCTGAAAAGTTGCCTCTGGTGGGGGAGGGAGGAAGGCCAGCCTCAGAGGAAAATAAATCAAGAACAGTTTGGACCTTAACTGTCCCCAAAGACCCCTGTGTTAAAGGTTTTGTCCAGAGATCGTGGCACTGATGTAAGTTGGAGGAGCCTTTTAAATAGGCTAGGGCTGGGGAGAGAGCTCAGTGGGGAAATGTTTGCTGTGCAAGCATGGGGATCTAGGTGTGCTTGGAGCTGGAGTGGGCAGCTTGGCTGCTGTTTGGGGTGGTGGGTAAAGAAAGTGGGAGCCTAGAAGATGGATGGCTCCAACAAGATTCTCTCCAAAGAAGACAAGGGAAGAACTAGAAGACGGGGTGGCATGCAAGGATTAAATAGACAGGAATAGACAGCACAGGAAGGATTCACTCACTATGGACTCCCAGCTGGCTGCTGTGGAAAAGGACTATGTGGGAAATATCAGTCGTTTCAGAACTGATGGCGCCCACTACAGGATGAGAGAGTTGAAGGCCATCAAGACCTGGGGAGGCCTGTTTGAACAAATTCAGCATAGAGTGACTGTTTTAGGGTCCCATCAGGAAGCAGGTGACTCCCCAGATGTGTCTTTGAGATTCATAGAGGCACTGTTTTCCAGGAGCGGGTATGAGGACTACGCACACCTACTGTGAGCAGGAAATTAATCACAACAGTAGCAGCCTAAGAGAGGGATGTTTTTCCAACAGAAGCAGGCTGCTCCTTCCCCTGGCAGTGGGATGCAAGGGGCTGTGACACTTGTAGCCTGCTGGGTCACTATTGGCTGATCCCCTAGATGGCCTTAGAAAGCCAGGATAGCCTTCGGTCACAAAGCAGCCTGCAGGTCCTTCTGGGAGCAGGTGATAGGGTGTGGCCCTCAGTGTCACCAAGTAAATTGGCCCTTGGAGACCTGAGAGTCAGGACCAGAGAGAAAAAGAGTGTTTGGGGACCTGTGTATGTGAGGGCATGGAGCCTTGGGAAGCAACAGGAAAGGAAAGGGGTTGTTTGGGCTGTGGGTCCCCTCCAAAGTGAGTGACCAGAGAGGCGTAGGCTGCAGAGCTAGGGCAGATCCTGATGTGGGAGCTGCCAAGAGGAGCCTGTAGGTCTCATGGAGGGAAGCAAAGTCAAATGCTGCCAGGAGGACAGACCACTGTGGACTCCACACTGTGGAGCTTTGTGGTTTCATCTGCTTATCAGGGAGAACTGGAGCCCTGCATGGGTGAAGGCAGAAGGTGAGCTCCATGGATCACAGGGGAGCTCTTGGGTTCTCCAGCCACAGGACAGACAGGGCACATGGGGATTTTAGCCATTATCCATTTTATATCCATTATATAGTACATGCTATAGTGGGGCTACCACCCAATCAGAGCCCCAAAACATCTGGATGAATAGGAAGCACATGGTCACATTGTTTCCAAAACCTAGACATGAGGTGTCACCTAGAAAGACAGCCTGGCTGCTAAGAGGCTTCCCCATTTGCTGTTGAAGGTAAGTACGGCAGGTTCATTGTGTGTCTGCAGAGTGTTAATAGAAACTGGCTTGGAGGCTCTGCACGGGCACAGACCTGCCAGTGCCCCTCCACTGCTCCTGTGGGGCAGTGTCTATTGAGAAGCTCTCCTTCTTCTCCTGCTCAGCTTCCTCCTAGAAGGACCCGGAGCAGATTTCCATGGACAGAGAGTGTCCATGACCACCTTTCCTGCGACGGTGCAGGGCCATATGGTGCCAACCACCCTGCACATCCATTCCCTCCACCGAGCAGGGTGACTCTTGTTTTAATTGCCAGCTAAAAGCACATTTGGAAGCCAGGTAACTCCAAAGTTTGCAGGAAAGCAACCTTTTAACTATGCAGGCCTGCCTCGGCCGTTGCAGGTGCTCAGGGCTCCAACAACCTCCGTCTCACTTATCTTCCAGGTCAGCAAAGTGGAGCGGGAGAAGAGCCAGGAGCTGAAGCAGGTGCGTGAACACGAGCAGCGCAAACACGCGGTCCTGGTCACCGAGCTCAAGACCAAGCTGCACGAGGAGAAGATGAAGGAGCTGCAGGCAGTGCGGGAGGCTCTGTTGCGGCAGCACGAGGCCGAGCTGCTGAGAGTCATCAAGATTAAGGACAATGAGAACCAGCGGCTGCAGGCACTGCTCAACACCCTGCGGGATGGCGCGCCCGACAAGGTGAAGACCGTGCTCCTGTGCGAGGCTAAGGAGGAGGCCAAGAAGGGGTTCGAGGTGGAGAAGGTCAAGATGCAGCAAGAGATCTCAGAGCTCAAGGGGGCCAAAAAGCAGGTGGAGGAGGCCCTGACGATGGTCATCCAGGCCGACAAGATCAAGGCTGCTGAGATCAGGAGCGTCTACCATCTGCACCAAGAAGAAATCGTCCGCATCAAGAAGGAGTGTGAGCGTGAGATCCGCAGGCTGGTACGTGGCTGGTGGGCAGGTGGGCAGGTGGGCAGCAGGGCACAGCTTTGGTCCCTCACCAGCCCATTTTCTCCACTCACTTACCTCACACCCTCCCTATTAGTTCTGAGGACTTCGGAGGTGCAGGAGTGCAGAGCCAGGTCCCTACAGGTAGGCAAGACCCCATCTGCCCCTCCATCGTGGACAGCAGTGCTCCCTGATCCCCACTCAGAATAGGGAAATTTCAAATCAGAATTCCTGTCATCCCCCGAGGGGCCATGGAGGAGCCCCAGGTTAAGCTAGAAGCCAGGTGAGGCTCACACACTGATCGCAGGAGGATTCTGAGTTGCTGGACAGATCAAGAGGGGAGAGACTAAGAGGTCTCTGTGCCGGTGAGGTGCCTGGAGCAGCTTTGAGATTCCTGTGCCATGTGTACCTCTAGGGAGACATTGTCCTAGGTCTGACCCTGTAGATGCTCAGGTATACTCAATGTCTGGAAGTGTCTGTGTATTCTAGGAAGCCCGCAGACCAGCCAGCGTTCTCAGGCCCAGTACCAACAAGCAGAAGAGAACATCCAGGAGTTGTGGGGAATGGGTTAGGTGTGACTCCTCTCTTGGAAAGTGTACTTCTCGGGGATTTGGGGGAAATGTAGTTCTACCTTAGAGACACATACACTTCATTTGGACAGTACTGGTTACTTTTCTATTGATGTGATAAGACACCATGACCAATAGAACTTATAAAAGAAAGGGTTTATTTGAGCTTGCAGATGCAGGGGGATAATAGTCCATGGTGGCAGAGTGGAGGTAGCCGGTGATAGGCCTGGAGCAGCAGCTGGAAGCTTGCATTTCAAGCCACAAGCAGAAAACAGAAAGAATGTACTGGGGATGGTGGGAGGCTTTTGAAATTTCAAGCCTGCCTCCAGTGACACACCTCCTCCAACCAGGCCACCTCCTAATCCTTCCCAAACAGCCACTAACTGGGGATCAACCATTCAAATGCCAGAGACTTATGCAGGGCATCTCATTCAAATCACCGTAAGTATTCAGGTATCCTAGGTATTGAGGCACTCTGTAGTAGGATGTAGCCATCTTTCTAGTTAGGATACCCAGGGAGTCATCCTTCCTCCACTTCTCTGGGTTTCTGGTGTTCAGAGACATGCTTTAGGCCACACCACTTCATGGAATTTCAGGAGATAGCAGCAATTTTCTGGACACCACCAGAAAGAAGAATTTGGGCATTGTGTAGGAGACATGACTTTACCATGGTGAACACAGGGTGTCTGCCCTATTCCTAACCTGGAAGCCCCACCCCTTTCCAGAATGTTCCCTGCTCTGATACCCCTATCCCCTCTCTATCTGTCCAGAACCATATGCTGTCATTGCCTTTAGTAACCCCAAGATGTGGCCTGAGATCCCACATGATATGACGTCATACAGCGGGACTCTGCCCTAGCCTGTCTATCTGGGGAAGTGAGGAAGCTGCCCTCAGGCCTCTGGGAAAGCTCACTCTGCCCGCTCCATTTGTCCTTTCCTTTGTCCTGCTTGGAGACCGTGTCCCAGTGTCCGTAGCAGAGGAAGGCAACCTTACTTCTCCACAAAGCTTGTAAGAAAATAACTGTGTTCCATAGTCCCCCTCCCACTCTGGTTTGGGTCCCTAGAGGCAAATTCCTGTGACTCCCCCAGCTGGTGGCCCTGGACTTTACCCCAGACCGTCACAGTATGTTTGAGCTGTTACCTCACTTCGGTCTATGCTGCCTTCTCTCTCCTGCACGCCACGCCTCCCCCCCCCACCCCCCAAAGTGCTGCCCCAGTGTTGCGTCTAGCCCTGCTTCACCATAGTGTCCTGGGTACATCTCAGCAGGAACCAGATGGTGCATCCTCTGAGAAGCCCCTGAGGAAAGTTGAAGGAGGGTGATGAGAAGAGTGTCCGTCCCCCCTCCCGGGTAGGATGAGTCATCACTGGGTCTGGGCACCGGGGGCTCCGGATCCAGAGGGAAAGGCAGCACTCAGCACAAGAGAACATCGGGGGCAAGACTCAGCCAGCTACCGTCAACTCCCAACCCAACCGGGAGCAGGGAGCACCCGTCCAGACCACTCACCTCCCACTGACCCATAGACCAGACACGAGCATGGAGGGATAGGTGGGATCATTGCAGGGACCAGCTCCCCCATCCAGGGTAGGGATTGAGTCAAAGGCCTCACACATGCTAGGCAAACACTTACTGAGCCACATCCCCAGCCCTCCACCTCTTGGGTTACAGAGCCTGACAGGAAGATCCAGGGGGCAGAGAGAGCATCCGGGGTGCAGCTCTATCGTGGGTGAGGGAAGGCTGTACAGTTCCGTTCTTGCCGTGAGGGTTACACACCTGTGGCTCACACAGTGACTCAGGGTCCGTCCCATTGTGTCATACAGCTCACACATCCGTACGTACTCCTCTGAGTTATTCCTTCGTTTGCTTAGTCTCCTGAGTGTCTGTCACTAATGCACGCCACATTTCCAGTAGGACGGTGAACCTCTCAACGCTGTCAAAACAGAATTCCAACCATTTGCCTTTGAGGTAAAGGCATTAAGCACTGCCCCTCCTCCTGTCTCTATACCCAGCTAAACAGCACAACCCAACAATTCTGGACCTTTCTTCATTGCTTGAATACCCCGTCCTTTCTTCTGCCCCGTTCCCCACCAGCCCTGCCTTCTCCTTGAGCTTAGGACATCTCTGAAATGGCACTGAGCTGTATGGATCACACCGGCACCTGCTCATCTACAGCAGGCAGGTGGATGCTCTCTCCAGCTGTCCTCCAGCTGGGGAAAAGACACTGTCAGGGTTCAAATCCCTTCTTGCCTCTCATCTTCCCTCCATATCTGCTCAGCAGAAGCTGGGCCTTTGAGTTCACACTGAATTTATTATTCTTCTCCCAGCCTTGGCTTTCTGTTCTATTTTCTAGGAAACATCCTCAACTTCCTTGTTTATTTCAATCATTCTAAGTGTCAGAGATGCTTGCTCTCTGAAGTAAATCCTTTGGCTCCCCCCCCACCCCCCCACCCCCCGTCACCGATGTACCAGCAGCTCTTACTTACCGAGAACGCTCTACTCTCGAAGGTTCAGCTCCTTCATTGTCTGTACTGCCACAGAGCCCCTCTCCACCTGTCTTTCCCGTTGAACAATTCTCTTAGCCTCTCCTTTACACCCCAACTGGGGAAACACATGGTGTGCGTGTCCGTGTGTGTGTGTGTGTGCGCGTGCGTGCGTGCGTGCGTGCG